AATTCTTGTGTTCTAAATGTTGTTTGATGCACAAGAACATGATAGTATATCAAAAAGTTAATTATTACTACTATGCATCGATTATTTCGATCTGAAATAGCTGTTAACAATTAAAAAATAACTTAACGGTGTGCAACAATATTATAATCAACGTCTACATATAAAGGCATAAGTTTAGTGAATATTTTCGATTAAATTGTTTTCGAAACTGTTGTGACCTTCGATGGAACTTTTCCATGTGCTGCTTAACATTCAATCGTTGCAATTCGAAATATTTCGTTAGTCGACGTTGGTGGTAGGGACTGCATAGTGTGTGATAACCGTATTATTCTTATTTTCGCGACCCACGTTTTTTATAAATAATTAAAGTTTTTCAATACCAGGCAGGGAAAGAAACAAAACGAGATTAAAACGGGATAGACTTGAAAAAAAACTGGACAAAACGCAAAACGTGTGCCGTACGACTTTTCTCGGGATAACGGGATACAGAAATGAAAAACTGATCAATCCCGTTGTATACGGAACATATGAACGTACCCCAACATTGTGGACCAAAGTTCGATCACACATGACCGTGGAGTTCAATCGGTAATTTTTATTCAGAGAAGCAAACTGACTGTAAAATGTTTTGTGCACACGTACATTGTCGAACACGATGACGCGATGGATTGATTTTATTTGTTTTTTTCTCTCCCCGAACACTTAGTATTGTATCATATATAAGAATTAATGTGTGGAACCAAGATTCGAAATATTCATTTAGTTGTCTGCAAAACCGCTTCGGTGTTCGGAGACTAAAGACCTACAAACACGTAAATCATTGCATTATTTTAAAGGTGATCATAATTGTCAGCGGAAAATCCAGTCCATTCTGTCAGCAGAAAACCTCGGTATTGACCTATGGGCAAGATTGGATTATAGTCATAATATAAGTAGGGGGCTAATAATTTTGGATTGGCCCTTTCACCCACGACAATTTCTTTTTTTTTTTACAGAGATTTAGTAATTTAAAATAAATATTAATCAAAATAATTACAGTAGGTATGTGTATATTCGTATACGTCAGGGGCGGATCTAGGGGGGGTTAAGGGGGTCAGCTAACCCACAGTTAATATTTGTTGACAAAATTGGCCTCTTGGAAATTTTTTTCTCTTTTTAGATCTTGATTTGGACTCTTGGACAGTTGGCCCATCGGAGTTACTTGAAAAATGAATGCCATGTATATTCAAAATTTAAAATTTTTAAATTATATCGTTTTAGTAGAAAATTAAGTAAATCATATTTTATTCCGTACGTTTGTTGCGCTGATAAAATAAGATTATATTCATTAATCGTAAATAAGTCATTATCGATGGTATCACTAATTCTAAAATGTAATATAAATATACTTATACACTTTTATGAGCATATTGTGTTTTTTTTTTTTTGCAAGGTATTAATTTCTAATTCAGTTTCATTCCTAATAAATGGCCTCTTGAAATGGCTTGACCCACAGTTGCCCGACTCTGGATCCGCCCCTGGTATACGTATTATAGTACAGTCATAAACAATTGATAAAATAGTACTTTTATCTACCGACGGACTGAGTCCGTTCGCGGATGGCTGTACTGTAAAACATGACTATCGCATCACGAATTGCCATCGAAGTCGATATCAGTGGCGGCTCGAGGGGTAGTCGTTACACGGTGGTGCGATAAGGCATTTTTTTTTTTTAAGAGACTGCGCACACCATGACCCCACCTGACCCTTGGGCGAATACTAAATCCGTAAATGTCCACGTCTGCACAAATCGATTTCGACGCCACCGAGGCACCGACTTATATATTTGTTGACAACGTGGATTTATCAAAATATAGATCTTATAAACAATAATAATAAAAATAATATGAAACGCGATCAGCATTGTACCTCGCTCGGTAATTGCTGTGTGGCCGGAATTCCTTTAGCTGCCGTAAACGTCGAACTTGTCGCGCTGCAATAGCGCAAGTCACCGTTGAATACGTGCGACGAGCGTTATCGCACTGTAATAATAGATACGTATACGAAACATAAGTTTATGTACACATAACACCAAATAGTATCGCCGCGGACCGACGTAGCACGCACGCGACCCCGATACACGAGAAACGCATTAACGCTGCAGGCGTCGATCGCCTTCGTTTTTAATTTTTAGATTATTATTATCGCATCGGAACAACTGACGCATCAAGATGTTATTTTTCTTCGAATATTATCATTTCCCAACAGAATTCCGAATCATTTCAATTATTCAACACTCGTCTCGATAAGATGGCATGTGTTAGGTTCCTCTGTTTTTATTCCATACACTTTGCATTCCTCGAGGACGCGATCGATTGTGAGCGAGTGGTAGGCATAATACCTTTTGCCATCGAATATCCATTTGTCTGTCTCGTGTGATCAACTCTGATACTATTTTAGTTTCCCCCCCCCCCCCCGTTTGCCCTGCTAACGTTAGGTTTTCGTTTCCATACTATTTGTTTAATTTGGTTTAATTTGTTTGCATTTGTGTGCCACATTCAGAGAATTTATCCAGAGAAGGGTGGTGTTTTGCTTAAACTATTTTCTTTCACCTGAATATGTGAAAATGTTTTTGTTTTGAAGGTCCGGTGAGCGGTTCACTGTTTCGGTTTGTTTACCTGCCCTTTCGTAACCGATTATTTCCTCATATGTACTGGGATCCAGATTATAATTATATTGTTGTTATTTTATTTTTTAGCTTCTTCTAATATATTTTGAATTCGTACAGCTATATCATTAGGATTAAAATAGTTTTTTACACTAATGAGAGAGCGTAACGGACTGTATTTTTGCATAATAATAGTGATACATGCTTTGTAATAATTATCCTGGATTTTAAAATTGTTTTATCCCGTTTTATTTAAAGAAAAATATAAAATGTTCGCACAAAAACGCGTGAATATTATATCGTCCGTAAATTTACGTCAAAAGTATTGGGAATACTTTTGAATTATTCTAAATAATTTATTCGGAATACAATTTGAATAAAGTATTCTAATACATATTCGGAATACTATTTTTTGTAAGTATTCGAGTATTTATTCTAAATATTTTTAAAAATGATTTTATCCAAGTCTGAGTATGAGGAATATATAATTAATTATCTTAAACAAAAATGTAAATGTTTCGGAAAGTATTATTTTCAATAGGATTTATGTACCGATATCAGCCCGAAACAATATATATAATAAAATAAGAATCGTTTAAGGTTATTTCATTGAAATAGGTAGTTAATAATATTCAATTTGAACTGTGACTATTGATTTCAAACAATATTGATCAATGTTATGAATCGATCGAATACCAAAAACGTATTGCGCTGCACAATTTTACGATAATACATTATAGCATTCAAATTGCAATCGCGTGCAGAATAAATGAGGTTTTGTAAGTGATTTTGCCTACATAAAACGCCTTAAAACCATAATATGTTTCTAGGTAATAATTATGTTTTGTTCAAACCATTGATTATAAATAGTATAGATAGCTCACTGCAATACAAAATACGTGGCTCGTTAAATGGCGGGTGTCGCTACGAGGCGCTCCGCGCAGTTATTAGTTTTGGCGGGTGTCGTTATAATCGCTAGTAGTTATCAAAAGTGGGGAATGCCATTTGGGTTGCTCCCATTTTAATAATAGATAGGCCTATTTTATGTTTAATACCTAAATATAATAAAAATTGTCTATAATATACCTGTACAGGTCATACTATTAAGTTTTCATTGGAAAAAGGTTATGACCATTATAAGCATGTTACATTTTAAAATACAAATAAGCGATGTAATATTATATTATATAAATTAGCCATATAGTAATCACATATTCACATTAACATATTTATTATTTTAAATACAATATAAATAGGTACTCACATAGATTGTAAATAGTATTTAAATAAATACTATTTATAATCAATGGTACAAACTATATTGAAAAATAAAGGGAATATGGATTTACCAATTTATTTTATTGTTTGGCTAATGTGTGTAGTTTTCTCAATACCCCTCTCGACCACCAAGACCATTGTCGTAGTTTATTTTTGAACGAATTGAAATATTTTGTTACTATTTTTAAGGTATTTAATGTTTGTCTTGGTACAAAATAAATGATCAATACAGCCAACACTCAACAGCCATCGGCTAATGGTTGAATTTGTGTATATTTAATTCGATAACCGTTTACTGCCTTGTGTTTTTTTCAAATTGTTTGATTTAAAATAAATTATATTTAAAAAAAAAAAAAAAAAATGTCAGGAGATAAATGTGTGTATTTTGAATGTAATTTAACAAGAAGGTCATCGAAAAATATTTTTCATCCATTTCCAGCCAATACTAAAGTTATGAGTATGTAGAATATTAATATTTAAATTCAATTTAATATCAAAACTATCAACACACCTTTAATTAAAACTGGTTACAACGTGCTATTACGTGTGTACAGTGTGTTACGACAGTGACAAAACAATGCGGGTCCTCACTATTTATAACCAATGTCATTACCATTGATTATAAATAGTACTATTTACGTCTCACCGAGGACCGACCGCCGACGTTTAGCAACGATTAAAAACAATATTATTTTATTCCATTATAATTGACAAAATTCCTTATCGCCCTCTATCGGCAAAAGTTTCTTACGCAGCATATTTTGTATTGCAGTGAGCTATCTATACTATTTATAATCAATGGTTCAAACGTATTCGTACACGAATACAAATCGCACCATATGTATCGTAATTATTGTTCCAATGAACTATACTCGATTAATGAAATAAACATGAACTGAGTATACCTTATTAATTAAGTACTGTTAAGTTTTATGGTTAAATTATGTATGGATTATACTTGAGCATGGACAATATTTGATTTTTTAGAGTAAAACTATTCGCGTGATTAATATTGAATTATTCAAATATTTTTGTGCATGTATAATATTTATGGATATTTTTTTTTCTTTTACAGATTACATTTGCCGCAATTCTAAAAATTGGATCACTCCTAAACTCCGCGAAGTACGAACAGTAAGTATAACGACATCAATTATATCGGACGTGATAGTGTTTTTGCAGAACGAAATCATTAGTTAATCATTCGAAAATAATATGATTCATTAATTTTGCCATTTAAATATCACAACGTTTCCGTATTTTTGGTGTATGGTCATAATGGTCTGAAGATTTTGCGAAATGTTTGGAAATATTTTCTTTCGTTATACATGACTGTTTTAATAAATATGATTTAAAAAAAATATAGTTGTATTATAAACAATTAATATCGTTAAAATTAATAAACATTTATGGATATGAATTTTCATATTGATCAGATTTGGCTGTAGATATTTCGAATTTTTCTTTGCCAGAGAATTTGCAATGTATATTACAATAGATCAACGTCATAAGAATCACGTTTTTTTTCTAAATAATTGCTTTTTTACCAAACGTCAGGAACACGTGTGAAACAGAACGGCTAGTGAATTATTTATAATTTTTCTTCGAGAATCATGACACTAGTATTTGATGCATGCATTGTTTTTCGCATCATCCATTGTAGTTTATATATTTCGATTAAACATGGGTGTTCAGATAATAAGACGTACGTGATTGCTTTTTATCTGATTTTATAACAGTTAATGTCAATGTCTGAATACATTAACGACACATTTATGGTTACCGTTTATGGTTTTCTGTTTGCTTAATATGAGTACCTATTTACCTACCTACCTACCTACCGTGGTGATTGTAGAAAATAATCATAAGTGATTTGGGTTAAGTCAACCGAACTCGATGTTCTAACTTCTGTACTGATGTCGATGACCCGTCTTTTAGATGATTTCATGTAGCATTACGGTTTACAATAAACGTTTTGACGTTCGCCTCGCGGTAAACTATGATGTAAATTATAGGTATAACGTTTCGGTGGAATGAAACGAAATTCATATTAAATTTCAATAAGTATTGTAATATGATTGAAAAAAATAAAAATAAACTAAAAAATACATACTTTCGAATTCATTATAATGTTTAAGATTTATCTCGAAATCGTTTGTTACCGCGCGTGTGACGATTCGCCCGCGCATTAACACGAACTTTTCTCATATCATTCCCAACGCGCTTTCCAAGTCTTCACGAAACCGCGCGATAATCGCACACAAATATTACGATACGCAGCGCGGTCCGCAAAGTATTCAAAATCATTCGGTAATAAATAATTAATAAATATGTACATTGATAATATGCCTTTTTTGAGTTGCTGTCAAAGCTCGTCGTGAAGTCGTTGGGAAACGCGCGCAAACGATTTTATTGTTAGGCAATATATGTATATTGCAAGCGTGTTTGTATGTGTGTATGTGTGAGTGTGTACGAGCGATTCAGATTTAATGAAAATATTATATTATATATATTATGACCTCATTAATTCGATCTGGATCATACACACACACACACACACACACACATGCACATGCGTATATATCTCCGGTGAAGTGGCCATCCGATTATTTGTATTGGGCGTAATACGATATATTATTTTCCCGTGTGTCATTCAATCTCGACGCGTTCTAAATTGAGCAGGTCAAATCACTATGGATAATTTACATAAACGTATATCACATATACATATATCATTATTATTTGACCAGGTAATAATAGTTATAACAATAATAATAATAATAATATTGTTTTCGATTGTTATATAGGTCGGCGGGTGTCGACACTCGTCAATCGGTATGGCAGTCATGTAGAAACAGATGGACCACTGGACTTAGTTCCACAGCAAACATGTTGGATACAATTTTTGTTTACATATTAAAGTTAGTAGATTTAATATTGACGAGTACCGTAGTTAATTTTTTAGATAAAAGCTATTTTTATTTTCCATCAACTAAAAAAAAAAAAAAATACGAAGTAAAAGAAAAACCTTTAATAGGTTTATAATAATTTACTTAATTTTTTTTTTTTTGTCATTTCATATATATATATATATATTATAACTGGGTGAATAATTATAATTATATTTTTGCGTTTTTTAGTAGATATCTGCTGTGATATAATAAGATCATAATATTTAAGAGTAGCTTAAGTATTCAACAAAACTATTTAACTCGTTCTCACGTCGGGTGCAGAGAGGGGAAGGGTTACAAACGGGTTCGCGATCGAGGTGATCTCATCATCATAGTTATGTGCGTAATACGAAATAGCGGTTCCCAAACTGTACCCGGTGGAACCACGAAAAGTATCGTAAATGCATTGCACAGGGTACCTACAATTTGTGAGTAGAATCGATGTATTTAAGTATTGACTACTATGTCCGTAGATATAGGTAAGTTTGGTGTTTTTGGTTTTTCGCGGGAATACAGGACACCGAAAATCGTGTTTATCCGGTAAAGGGCTTCTCGGTGGTCGTCATAGAGTTTGAGGATTTATGTGACATTTAATTTATAGGGCATGACTGTCCTAACGCAATCATTATTGGGTTTATCGATCCGTCGACATAATGTAGACGGACGATCTACATAATTAATGACCTAATCAAGATCTATGACGATCACGCCGGTTACCATTACCACTGCTCACCGAACCCACCGACACTTTAGTGATCTATCAACTGTACCGATTTTTATGTTAGATTTGAAATTCAATTTAAAATCATCATATTGAACTCTAAATATTTTGTAAGCCACGCCACGTGTGTCACGATCGCACGAACGTGCAATTACCGTGGCAGTGAACCTGACCTAACCGTCCATAAATGACGAATTTATTCGTGTCGAATTTGTTATCAACACTATAACATGGCCATGCAAGATCTAAACAGTTTTATTGGTCTATTATGTCAAGTTATAATTATGTTACGAGATAGTATTTCGGTTTCAGCTGTACATTATTTTAATGTGTATACTGTATCGAATTGCACTACGGCCGTATTATTGATCCGTTTCGAAATCATTGTAAGTTATGTGAGTGAATAATGAAAAACCAACCTGGTTGTACAAGAAAACACTTGTGAGATATAATTGTAGATAACTAACCTAACTTGTATACCATTGAATCAGTGTTGGCGACCTACAAATTGAAGATAAACCGAGCCGAGTAAGTTGGCTACAACCCGTTTGGACCAAATTTTCTGAAACACAATTCGTTTAGACCAATTATAAAGACCCGTTTAGGCTAAAAAATATCATTTTTACACAGATCGTTTGAACCAGCACTTCCCTTCACATTTTAAACAGGCTTAGGACTGTATTTGGCATGGTTAAAAATGCTATTCCAATATTTTTATCAATATAATAAACTTATTTTTTCTATTAAATTGTTAAATTACTTCGTAAAACTATCAAGCAGATAAAAATATGTAGAATTATAGGTTTTTATTTTTAATTTGTATTACTTATTGATTTCGAATTATCTTTAAATATGTAAATTAAGGTATCTTACCAATTTTATATTCTATCCATTTTTTTTTTTTTTTTAAGTTGGTCATGTTTTCGTACAGTATTGTTTTTTGTATATAAGATATATTTTTTGAAATTGACGATATTATGTCTAAAATTTGAAATATATTTGGATTAGCAGAGTTAACCTTCTAAAACATTTTCGATTTTTAAATCCATCACACGGTTTGAATTTATTGTGTAGTAACTGATACGGTCGTTTTTCGCGTACTTACACAGCGATCTAATCCAACCTTTGCCAATGTAGTTGCCATTACCTACTTCAATAATCGATTAGGATACCAGATTGATTAAACGAACCGGTTGTAATATATATTACATTCGTGTATAATTTGTAGTTCGTACTATCATCGAGCAAGTTATCTATTGTGGAAAATTTCATCAATATAAAATTGGTCCAAACGACTCAATAAAGTTCTGGTCCAGACGAGTTGCAGTTTTATTAGTAGCCCAAACGTTCCTTGTCCAAAAGTGTTTACCCCAGTAAGTTGTCCTTTCTAAATCGACTGTTATTACTCGAAGAACTTGTAAATTTGGATTTCAACAAAAAAAATCACAAGTGACACGATTTCCCGCAAAGGGCAAATGTCAGATTTTCTTTAAACGTGGACTCGGTAGATAAAAAATTTCTTTACGCTCACGGGACACTTGTTGAGTGTGCAATATTCTCTTCATCGCGGTTTAGTATAATGGTTTCGCGGGTCTTCAGGATCCGATGAGAAGGATGTATGTTAGTTGGTGAGCGTGATCACCAACCCACCTGATAGTAGCATAGCCGATTGACAATGAGACACGTTAGTCGTTACTAAAGAAACTTAAAAGAGAGAGAGAGAGAGAAAACAGTAAATAACTAACAGTTGAAGCAAATTGAATAACAACATCGTCGGTGTTATTGTATTAAAACATTCTCGTCCGATGAATGACCTATTCTCGCGGTACACAGATATAATAATAAAAATAATAAGCGTGTTCGACGCGCGCCTTGTTGTATTCCGCTGCGGTATACCCACACATTATTATATATTATTACCATACCCCGGCGACCACGTAAAAGTATAACGCGCGAGCGTAAGAGAAATAATAATGATAATAATGATGATGTTAAAAAAATGTTAGCGAAAAAAAAAGAAATTTCACCTAGTACGGTGAAAGTATTACGATACGTACTCTTCGGCGACGGCTATAATAGTTTCGTGAACCCGTCGCCGCCGTTCACGTCATATCCCGGTTAAGGTCGTTGACCGTCTTTCTCTCGGCACTCCGAACGGAGCGGTTTGACCTCGTTTCGGGGGAGAGAGAAAAAAAAATAATAATAATAATAAATATAAACGGACGGAGAACTCGTCACCGACGTGTTGATATTTGCGCGAAATCTATCAATGTATTAAAATGTTATGACAGATCGATGACCATCGATCGTTCCGTCGCTGCGTTTCCGCGTCCGGATCATTGCCCATTTGGATATTGTTATGCGGTCTTTTTGTACAGCTATCCGTAGGAATCCTCGGTGGAAGGGGAAGGACTCGTACCTTTAGAGCGCCGATCGCACTTCTCCGTAATTGGGTTCGAACCGATCGCGTTCCTGCGAGAGAAAAACGTCGAAAAAACCAATTATTACGATGCAAAAATCATGCGCTATACGCGGGACTAGGTCATCATTGTTCGTACAATAACTTATTATTTCAAGTTCGCCGCAGGTCGAGTGTTGATTGATAGGGTGCAGTTTGAAATGATGAGACGCAGTACACGCGTTTCGTTCTATTACAGAAACATTCGATGGGTGTTGTCCCCGCAAGGGGTCATTAGAAAAATAGAAGTTTTCTACACACAACATTTATAGGACTATTTAATAGATCGTCTTTTCGAGTGTTCGAAGTCTGATGAGGAACGTGGTAAAAACCGCAATGAAAATGTTAAATAATCGTCTAAGAATCGAAAAAGTTCTGAATTCGCAAAACTAAAGTCTCGTCGCTGGCGCACGAGACGAAAAATTTGCGTTCGATAGAACATAATAGCTCTAAGATCTGACCATTTCTTTCCCCGGGGATCGATGAACGATACTTATTGTGATCGCGATCATCACAGCGTGTTACGTATCGCTTCCGACGGAACGTTGTCCACCATGAGCAAACGTTCCGAGTGCCGGAAGCGAAGTTATCGAAGAGCAAGTCGAACAGCCAACAGTTCACGGCGGACACGGAACGCACTCAGTTTTAACATTGATTTTTAGAACAACACTAAATGCCGCGAGCGCAGTAACTAAGTATTCCGAAGCAGAGGTGGGACTAGGAATTTTTACACCCGGGGAAAACGTTAAAATTACGCCCTATCATAGACCAATGATCAAATACTCTTCTCGAGAATGTTTTTCTAATAATTATTATATAAAATTATGCTCATTGAGTTTTAACCTAATAACAGTATTTGACAAAGTTAAAAATATCAAATCAGTCGTTAATAATTACAAAAATGATCACCCTCTAAAATATTAAACGAATCCCCATCTTCCACCCCCTAGTTGCGCCCTTGTTTCGAAGTCAACGGTTTCGCCGATAACGTCACGTCGATTGCAGGTCCGTATGGGCACGTAACACACGCGGGTAATACGATACGCGTCGCCATCCGGACGGAAGGCGGTGGCGGTGGCGGTCGTGGATTTCGCGGACTAGATAATATCGACTACCAGGTCGTCGACCCGTGTCTTGCAACCGTCCGATTTTTCAACGAGCTTACGCGCGCGCGTATTACATATACCAGAGGTTACACATTTATACGTATTTTTACGTGAATGACATTAGAAAACGTTCTCTTTTTCCCTCTCCGCCGTCGCGATAGTCACGCGCGCTCGCGGTCGTTGACGCCGAAGAAAGTTGGCCGTGAAAGCATTCGGTCGGTACAAGTTCAAAGTCCAAAGAGCCACGATTCTGCGGTCTCCATCGGTAAACCTGTTTATTATTTCATCAACATCCAGTGGTCTCGTTCCACGTTTTTTCGTTCGAACCCGTAAAACTGTGTCTTAACGCGCGGCAACCGAGCCAACCGATTACGAACACGAGTGGCTTGTACAACGGGAATGTTACCGATTATCATACGACGCAGCGGTATGTAAATCTAATTTGCGTACACGAGCACCGTTGTTTTCCGCTCACGAAAAAACGACTACACTGTTATGTGTACCGATGACGCACGATCGATATTACAGTCAAACGATCTCCAACGCGCGAAACGGAAAACTTTACCGACGTGAAAACGGTACCGTGACGGTTAACGCGTGTTCGGAAACACGTTCACGCGAAAAAAAAAAAAAAAAACAGTTCACTGCGTCCCTTACCCTGGCCACCCCGTACAGAAATTTACGATTTTGGTCGTGTTAAAAAAAAAATACACATTTTACAAAATTTGTTGTGCAAAAAATTTGTACGCGATTCTTACGAATTCGTACGAACGCGACAATGACCGTAAATCTCTGGGTGGGGGCAGGGCGATGGTTCAGTGCCGCTTTATGCGTTACCGCGTGTTCGATCTTTTTTTCATTTTTTTTCACGTACGAAAACCCATTTCGACGGCAACACCGGGGTGAATCTCACCCCTGTTCCCCTGGCGGTCGCCGTAGAGAACACCGTCGGGTAGGCGCGCACCGCATGTGCGTTCAACAGTGTTGGGGTTAGATAAGTAATTTTTTATCTAGATAAATAAAAGATAATTTTTTTTTTTTTAATACCTACTTTAAAGCAGGAGAGTAATTTAAATATTTGCTAGGTTAAGGCATAATGACGAGTCACCAACGCTACATTACAATGAATGCAGGTATACTCTACATTTGAGCACCTAGTTCCGGGTCTCTAACGAAAGGATTAACAATAAATAATACCTAATATATAATATTATTGTGAACATACGGTTTTTTCACCGAGATGACGTAACAATTCAAATTCAAAGTATTAATTATCAATGACAGTTGATTTTTTAATAAAATATGTAATTCCTTTTTTTTGAATGGAAACGAATTTATTTAGATGGATGAATTTTTTATCTTAGATAAAATACGATAAAATACTTTAATTAATATGAAATTATCTATCCGTCCTCGCGAGCGAAACAAATCGTTGGCCGTGTATCCGCGTCACGTCGGCATTGCGTCCTATCACCGCCGCCGCCGTTGTCGTTTTCCGCACCGTTACCGTACACCGTCGGGTTATGTGGCACACGGTAGAAAGTAACGCGGTCGCGTTAAACGAGCACAAAACGTAATGCGACGGCGCGCGACAGCGGTACCGACGTGTTGGTTTCGCATCGTTGGGCGCGGATCAAACGTTTGCGGGCCCCTGGGCAATTGAAATTTCGGGCCCTACATTATTTATCATATTGTTTCTATTCATTTTTTTTCGAAACAATTTTATTTTTATCACTGCCATAGAACACCTACAACTCAATATATATATATATATATATATTATATATTTCATAATGACTTTTGATCCGTAAATTCGTAAATAAAATACGGGTATTAATGAATATAAAAAATATACAGTTTTCCGTTTTCACGGGGCTCCTTAAACGAGTGAGGCCCTAACGTGGTCGCCGACTCCGTCTATTGGGTGATCCGGCGCTGAACGGGCGAAAACGATATTCGCGTCGAAAACTTTTCCCGCGTTACGGCAACAGCAATATTGATAGTGCCGAAGGGGCATGTGGCGGAAAACAGTCGAACCCGGTCGGGATGCCGAAAATCCCGTCGCTCATCGAAATCGCAGCTCGTCCAATCTCGTCGATCAACAGTTAGTAATGATCGTCGGCGAAACGTTATCGATACTTTTGATTTCGATAAAACGATCAGTAAATCATCGAACGGGCCGCAGCTAAGGTGTTCGGAGGTACTTCTAATGCCCGAACAATATTTTTTTATCGTTTTTCTAGTATTTTATTATCTCTACCGCTACCGTTAGTGGTTCGCAGTTTCTTCGCATAATAATTGGTATGTTATTCAAATATTAACAAACGTTGCACAAAAACGTCCCGTTTGGTCTACAAGTTTCAACATTGGAACAGTATTTCGGATTATTTTTACTTAATCCGTTTGCCGAAAATTATAAAAAATATTGTCGTTCAGACTTTTAACGACAGCGAAAATGCGGTGCTGCGAAGCGAATGATGAAATGATGAGTTTTCGAAAAACATGAACCCTTGATGAAATCATATTGTGTTTTATTATTTTACTATTGAAACAAGGTTTGTAATTTAAGGCTTTTTGCATAGGCAACATAAAGTTATTACTCGTCCGTTCTGTAGTATTATGAATTAATGTACGTGATATCAATATTGAACATCGGTTTTTATTGTGTAATAACCTGATATTAAAGAAAAAAGGGATAATAGTAGTGGGAGTGATAGTGGATGTGGATAGATTACCATCATCTGAGAGGAATTTTGGGGTTACAAAGGTTCGAGAGCAGATGGGTGCAACTGAATTATGTCGGAAGCAAAATACTTTAATAATATAAGTGTTTGGATCGTTTGGAAACTTTTATTTGACTTCAAACGGTCTAAACGCATCGTGTTAAGTTTATCTTTTTAGACGGTTTAAAGAGTTTTGTTGAATACAACGTCGTTATAGAGAAATAAACTCGTTGGCTCTCTTCTCTTAAAATTTTCATTTAATTCGGGGGAGGGGGAGTAAACATTTTTAGGTAAATAACATATTTTTATTAACTAAAAAAATCTTTTGTGTTCATTAATCAGAGTATAATATAGCTGTTGTAATATTGTTTCATAGACTTTTGAGGATCGACCGCGGGGGCGATATACCAACGAATAAACCATCCCCCGGTGATCCGAAGATACTACAAAAATGCGACGCTCCCGATCAGGTAAGGATTTTTCCGTACTTACTACTTCACTGGAGTCATAGCGAGTTAATATCGTTAACATGGACTTGGTGATAATAACGCTGGTATTTCATTCGTGATCAGACGATCGGGAAATGTGTAATCAAGTGATCACAGTACACAGCTGATAGGCATTTGATATACGAGTATAATGAAATATAATAGTTATAATTTCTGATTTCGTTGAGTTTCTGTTTCACATTTTCTACACCAACATCAACTTAACCACTGATGATCATAAATAGAATATGCTAATTCTTCAGGGTGATTAATTATTGTTGATCTCTTACACGATCGTCATTTTTGCATAATTATTTTAAGTGTCGTCGAGTTCTGGGAAAGAGGCCTAAATGGGTCTTTTGCCCACCGTCCCTCGTACCTGAAACGAATTATACTTACAAAAACTTACAATTTTCAATTTTCGAGAACTCGACATCGATCACCGGCCGTTTTATTATTTTCGAACAAAATTAAAATGCTCCTATATTTCTATTCGTTTTCATATTTTTAACGTTCGGACAAAACGGTTAATTTATATTACGATGGTCTAATAATTCAGAAGTAATTATTATCATAAAACACAATATTAACATCACGCGTCCGATAATCAAACGCAAACGAAACTCGTAGAAATGCCTGTGGATTCGACGTACAGTAAGTAGAGAATATTCGGACATACACTGAAGACGATTCGTCCGTTGCTGTGACCGATCGAAACGCTGATCACACGAGATTTTAACAATCTCGGCATAATTTTACATTTGTTATAAGCGCACTCAGAATCCGAATGTTTTACGTTTCCGAATCGGTGCATCGGTTTTTGGAAAAAAAAAAAATAATAATAATAATATCCCGCACACAATGTTGTGATGATTAAATTAACTGCAGTACAAACGGTTTCTACTGGTACGCCTATAAAAATGTAAAATTGTGTGCACGATTTCGGTATTTGTTTACTATTATCATACGGCGAATACTTTGGTACTGTTGACAACATTCGTTCGACGATAAGTTGAAAGTTATCGCGATACAATTGAAAAATCATATACGAACGTTTATTTCGAGTAAATTAATTCGCACATGCTTACTAAATACTGTTTAAAAATTAAAATTACATTTCACGTTTCATAAAGTATCGTTTTTATCGTTCTCGTTTTAACGGTAAATTTAAATGTAACATTTTTTTTTCTTCAATTCTTATCGATTTAATTAAATTACATTAACGTGCAACACCGTTGCGGCATTTCGATTGCCGTTGCTGGCGTCATGACGTGAAAAAGTCACAACTTACTTATGATTGATGTTCTTCTTATCGTTACGAAAACATAACTCGAAACCGTCGATGGTTACGTAAACAAATCGTCAAGACAGTGAAACGCGCGCTAAGTTCGTAGCGATAGATTTTGAGCACCGTAATCGATTCGTCTTGAACGAACACGGTTTTATTGTAAATATTATATACATGAAAAAAAAAATAATAATAATAATAAAAACAAACAAAAACTAACTGAGAATGAACAACATGCTCGCGTTTAAATTTCCGTCGAACGATACGCGCGCGCGCGCCGAAGTGGACGTAACCGAAAAGAAAGGATTGGCACCAGGAAATGACCGGAACCGAAGAGCGCCAGAGGACGTGATCACACCGACACATCAGGTAAGTTACGAACCGCACGTAATAATTTGAATAATTCAGTCGTAGACGCCTCGTTCGAGACCTGCATGCGTCCCGACGGTGCGGTGGAAAACGGGGATGAAAATAACCCTTCTGGACGCGACGAAATCGGTCGTCCGCGAGTGTCTTGCACGGTTCCGTTCCTTCGGCCAATCGAGTCCATCAAGCACGAGAACTCGCGAACGTTTTTTTTAATTTTTACGGTACCCACGAGATATTCTTCGCCCGGCGGTACTTTGGTAAGCTAATCGTTTCTGTGGATCGAAATCAAATTTCGAAAAATCCATTTAATCATCGTACCGTGTACCCGTCCTCTCTCTCTCAAAAAAAAAAATGAACTTTTGAAAATGGTTGCGCAAATTTAAATTACCCATAGGACGGCGGAAAACCTGAGGCTGGCCATGATCATGCGTTCCACTGTTTTTATGAACGCCTGTTAAAAGGACATTGCACCGTCACGGTGGTTGACGGTTAACGTTTTCTGGAAAACAATACCACTGTGATATCGGGAACAACGTAATCGGCGGTCGTTTTTTTATATTTCGCGTAGAAAAACGTTTTGAAATATTTTCGTTTCGAAGAAACCTACATAATGTTTATGAAAATTAAAAAAAAAAAAAAACGCACCGAATGTTATAATATTACTCGTTGTCAAACAAGCCATTGTCCATTTCTGAACCGTGAGACGCGCGTTCATCGTTGTTAGAGCACTTTGACGGTACCATTCAGAGCACGGAGAGCGTAATTACTTATGACTAGGGACCGGATTTATATGCAAATGAATATATGTATGGGAATAAGCTTTTTGAAATCTGATGAGTATTGTCCCCGATTCAGATGTTTCTTATTAAAATAACACTAATTTTACTTTGCGTATTTTGCATTTTTCAACGTTTTAACCTGTTAAATGCGTATTCAATGCATATTTGTAGTTTTATAGTGCATATTATTATTAATACATGACATATACGTCAAAAAAGTTTTTTAAAAGCTCCATCGCGTACGACACTTTTCTGAAATATGGCCCCTAATACTTCCACCACAACCAATATTATTGTGACAACTTGGAAATTATTAAAGAAATAATTCTTCAATTGAACAGTGAAGACTCTATTTCAATTAAAAAATCTTAAGATTTGATAAAAGATCCTAATTTTAAAGCTTATTTAATTTACATTAAATCAAATTTTGAAATAATTCAGAGCACGATAAAAATATTAGAATCAAAAGATTACTTATTATCAGAAGCCATGATCAAAATTAATAACGCAAAAACCACATTAAAAAAAATCAAAAAACATAATTGGTGGTATTATAAATGCCAAACTTTTTACATTTATAATATATTTCACATATTTGTACATCATTTTAAACAACATTTTAAGTGAATATTTGAGTACATATTTTATAGCATATTACAGTATTTTTAAAAGCATATTTTGAGGGTTTTTTGTCCATATAAATCCGGTCCCTACTTATGACCATTGAAATGATGAATAAAAACGCGTGTGCAAGACATAGACGACCGAATTTCTATTGCGGCAGTGGTAAAAAGTTAAGGTTAAACAACGGGTTCAAGCGTAAGGTGTTATAGATTCGAAACGAGAACATTATGAAACCGTTTACGGCGATATATTCGTTTCATCCTTGATAAATCGTTAGTTTCAGAGCCGTTGGGAAATTATGGGCGCACCACGGGTGCCGGACTAGAATTTTTCACTTTCAACGTATTAGGGTTATTCGAAAGAAATACTTACGTTGTGTGAAATCCAAACGCTTTTGATTGATATTTTATTTTCGGTTTAACCGTCGTAGTAACGGTATTGTGTCACGTTGAAATGTTGATTATTTTTTTTACCGAGCGTTTTTACAAATTTGCCCCGAAAACATTGGGAGTGAACATATAAAAGCTTGTTGCTACATGATATGTTCACAATTTTAATATGTGCTTTTTGCTCTAAACAATTATTGTTTAGAGCGAAAAAGCACATATTATTATTCGAGTATGATGTGTTGCGTTTCCAAATCAGAAACTTGACGGTTCAGTGGTTCGGACATTTATGTATTCGAATATCATACATGTTTCAGCTGTTAAGAAAAATTAGTGTTTCACGATGAATTATAATTAAACCTTAAGAGTGATATTCCTTCAACTGTATGATATAAGTTAAATACAATTATGTTAGAATCACTTTTATCAAAACCACTTAGTAAGGGGTTACGTATAGGCAATTTTAATAACGCTTCAAGACGAATTCAATTAAAATGTATGCGATGTCTAATCGCATTACCCTAGTTCTCAGTTATTGCTGCTGATTATGAAATTCTTTATCGGTGTAGTTTTCCGCGAACCAACATCATTTTATTTATCAAATATTTGTTTTCGATTTAGCAGAACATTTTAATGTGATGCGGCATTGATAATTTCTCAATAACCTGATCCAATATTTTGAATTTATTAAAGAAAAAATTAAAAAGAAATATAAAGTAAACACAAAAGTAATTTATAAGTTATTTATTAAAAATAAAGTAGTATTATGAAAAAATTATTGACATAATGTCGTAAAAAATGTATTTCATCACCTAAAATATGATTTATATTTTATTTATCGAAAAATGTTGGTTGCACATACTAACTTTATGTTTCTCATTTTAATTATACATTTATTTATTTTTTTTTTTTTTTTTTTTTGTTAGTTCAAATAATTGCTTAAATTTTGTTATTATTATAATTCTTGCAAAACTTGGCAAGTGAACCGAAAAATTGATATTTGATATAATTTATTCATAAACGTCACAAAAAAAAGTCTTAAAAAGTGGTATTATGATTCTTGAAAAAATATCAAATAACCGAAGACGCTAATGTATCTAGTAAATATAATGTTACACAATCCATTATCTTAAACTAGTTATGTATAAATATCAGACAATTACACAAATAAACAGCAGAAAATTTGTGTTCGAAAAGTCAACATTTCAATTGTTTCACTGAGTATCTAAAAAAATATGTTCACTTGTTATTTTTTTATTTAGACGTAATTCATATTTTTTTCCTATTATTTTCTTCTTTTTTTTTTATCATACGGATAGATAACACATGTTATATTACCTAGGTACGTTTATGCATTCACCTAAAAGCTTAATAATATACAACAGATAGTAGGATCATTATAGTAGGATATTAGTAGGATCAAATCGTTCACATGATTAGCATGAACAAACGCTTTGAATGCTGTAATTCTAGCCTAATGTTTTACAAGTAGTGTGCGTGCGACGTTGGCCCTATCATGTTCTACTACATGACAAA